TTTAGTTCTGCTTGAGTCCATCCACTATTCCAGCTGGGTACCTAATGACTGGGATTGCCCAGGTGTTGATTGCCTTTATGGTATTTCCTCCATTGAGTTTGGACTTTAAGATCTTCTTCACTCTCTTCATGTATTCACCTCTAATCTTTTTCTTGACTTCAGTGTGCTTGATGTTGTCAGCTTGACGGATACCCAAGTATTTGTAGTATTCTTCCTCATCCAGACTCTTAATTGGTATTTTCGTGGGGCATCTTGAGTCCTTCAGTTTTCACTACTATTCCTTGTTTGATAGTAAGTGTGGCACATTTGTCCAAGCCAAACTCCATAACAATATCTTGGCTATATATACGGACCGTGTTGAGCAGCGATTCTATTTCAGATTATGTTTTTCCATACAGCTTCAGATCATCCATGTAAAGGAGATGGGATAGTCTGGTAGATATTTTTGATGTTTGATAGCCATGTCCTGAGTTATTTAGTATTGTTGACAGAGGAAACAGTGCAATAACAAATAGTAATGGTGATAATGAATCTCCTTGAAATATTCCTCTCTTGTTATTAACCTCTCCCAGCTTCTCACCATTGATCTGCAACTGTGTCTTCCATTGTGCCATCGATCTTTGCACAATTTTTCTGATGTTTCTACTGACTCCTGTTATTTCTAGGCACTTTATTATCCAATCATGTGGCAGAGAGTCAAATGCCTTTTTGTAGTCAATCCATGCCACATTCAGGTTGGTCTTCCTTCTCTTGCAGTTTTCCAAGATCATTTTGTCTATTAGAGTTGATCTTTTGTTCCTCTGCTATTGGGGCGTTTCCTTTCTGCCTCAGGTGGAAAGAGATGTTTTTCAACTAGATGCTGTATGTCTGCATCGCTACCACACCAGTTAGTGATTTGAATGTTGTTGGTAAGCAGTTAATTGGCCTGTAGTTACCTGGTTGTTGCCCCTTTTGCTGGATTTTTCATTATTAGGTAGGTTTTTTCTTTCTCCCCTGTCCTTCTCTTTCTTTTTCTCTCTTCTTCTCTTTTCTTTTGTTTTTTTTTTTTCTTTTTTTCCCACAGTTGTTAGCCACTTTCATTTCTCCTCCTTGTGTATATTGGTTGAAATTGCTGGGCATGAGGGGTGTATAACAGATTAGCTGTTTTCAACCAAACCCAATGCAGGTCATCTTCACCTGGCTTGACCATTTTTTATTTTCTTTGCTCTTTTTTTCTACCATTTTTGTTGTTATTAACTAGTTTTTCATTCAACTTCTGTTTTTATTTGCATCCACCCTCTTTTAACCAAGCTGCATCCTTGTGTATTTCTTTGGGTTATCCCATATCTGCTTTCAGAACTGCACTGTTTCTTCCTTGTCAGGTACTGACTGATTCCTTGCAGTTTCTCCATTGATGGATTGGTAGAAACGTTTCTGATTGGATTGAAATTGGAGGTTCTGCCTATAGTTTGCAATTCGAGCTTCATTTCTACTGATTTTCCTGGCTATAGCTGTTATTTGTTGCTTTATTATTTCCAGTGCTTCCTTGATCTTTCTTGTTTCTAAGTGGTATTTCTTGATTAGGTATTCTTTGGTCTTCTTGTTCTTCAGCTTCTTTTCTTTCATCTGTTCTAGCTTGCTTGCATGTGATCTTAACTTGCTGATCTTATTTTCTAGTCTAACCTTCCATTTTTGTGATGCACTGTTTGTTTGTTTTTCTTCTTTGTTGATTTTGCATCCCAGGTATTCAGTTATAACTGCAGCTGTGCTGTACATTAGTTGGTTTGTTTCTTGCAGTGAATTGGTGCTTATACTTGCTATTGCAGTATTTGCATCTTTTAATGCTTGTGCTAGCTGTTTCTTTGGAACAAGCTTCAATGCAGGCAGCCTTATTCTGTTGTTTTTGTGCTGTTCTAGATGCTCAGTTATTCTTTGTTTCAATTCTTTTATTTCTTTAGTTAGAGGGTTTTGTTCTTCCTGAGGAAGAGGTGCCTGGTTTCCAAATGAGAACAGTTGTATATCTCTGCTGGATTCCTTCACTGCCAACTCCCCCTGGTTTGCCTCTACATTCTGAATTACTTCTTGTAAGGCTTTGATTTCTTTGCCCTGGGTAAACCTTTGCAGTTCGTCCAATTCTGTTTCTGTGAATACTTTATTTCGTGTTATAAATCGGCGTTGATCTGCTAGTCTCTGTTCTGTTATTTCTGATTCTGGATGTTGTTCTTTCCAGAATTGGTGCATTCGTTTTAGATATCCTCGTCTTGTTGGACTTGATCTGTAGTAACAGATCATTATTTCTTTGTTTTCCATCACTGTGTATCTGCAACGGGTAAACACCTTTTCTTCCAGTAGTTCTGCAGCTGCTGGCCCTGGTTGCTCAGCCAACAGTCCTGAGTCCTGTAACCCATTTTTCACCAGATATCCAGGAACTCCAATATCTAGCGCGGACCTTGTTAACCCGGGCGACGTCCGAGCCGGTATGGCATTCTGAAATTTACGTCTCACCATATTTTTATGGGAGAGACACTCTTTGTCTGACTCCTCTGATGAGACCTGTCCAGTATGGTTGAACCTCTGGCATAGCTCTCATCTTCCTCAGAGTACACAAGCCCCACAACCACGTCAAGGTAGTGCCTCACTGGGGGTATTATTATTATTATTATTATTATTATTATTATTATTATTATTATTATTATTATTATTATTATTATTATTATTATCGATCATCGCACAGTCAGCCAGATGTTCAGACTGGATTTGGCATTTTGTCTACCTATCGAGTCCTTACCCAGGACCTGGGATAGGCAGATGTGGATGTTTGATGGTATTACAGGTATCGTCGCAGGATGGAAGCAGTTCCTAATAAGACCACCTTTTGCAATTGACTAATGGCGAATTTGTCAATGTGGTGCTCCAGTTGTTTTGGGATTGCACCCAAGGAGCCTATCACTATTGGTACCACCCTTGCTTGCTTTTGCCACAGTCTTTCTATTTCTATTTGTAGGTCTTTGTATTTTGTTATCTTCTCCAGTTCTTTCTCTTCTATTCTGCTGTCTCCAGGCACTGCCACGTCCACTATCCAGACTTTTTTGTCTTTCTTATCGACAATTGTTACGTCTGGGGTGTTATGTTGCAGGTGCTTGTCTGTTTGAATTCTGAAGTCCCAGAGCAGTTTAATTTTATCATTTTCTATGACTTTCTCTATTTTATGATCCCACCAGTTTTTGCTTACAGGCAAATGATATTTTTTGCAGATCTTCCAATGCACCATTGTTGCTACTTTGTCATGCCGCTGCTTGTAGTCAGTCTGTGCAATCTTCTTGCAACAGCTTACCAGGTGGTCCACTGTTTCTTCAGCTTCTTTGCATAGGCGGCACTTACTGTCTGTTGCTGTCTTCTCAATTTTGACTTTATATGCATTTGTCCTTAAGGCTTGGTCTTGTGCAGCCAGAATTAGTCCCTCGGTCTCTTTCTTCAATTTTCCTGCTCTTAGCCATTGCCAGGTTTTATTATTATCTGCTTTCCCAGCTATTTTTTTAATGTATTGGCCATGTAGTGCTTTGTCTTCCCATGCCTCTATTCTGTTCTTCATTTGGTCTTTCTTGTAGGCCAGTTTGGTCTCTCCAGTAGTCAGTAAGCCTTCCTGATATACTAATTTCAGTGCATCTTCATCATTGTTCTTCAGATATTCTTCCAAAGCCATTTTTTCTTCTTCAACCATCTGAGGTACTTGTAGCATTCCATGCCCACCTATTTGCCTTGGTAGATAAAGTCTGTCAATGTCACTGCGTGGATGAAGGGCATGATTCATTGTCATTATTTTTCTGGTCTTCCTATCCGTTGCTTTTAGTTCTGCTTGAGTCCAGTCCACTATTCCAGCTGTGTACCTAATGACTGGAATTGCCCAGGTGTTGATTGCCTTTATGGTATTGCCTCCATTGAGTTTGGACTTTAAGATCTTCTTCACTCTCTTGATGTATTCACCTCTAATCTTTTTCTTGACTTCAGTGTGCTTGATGTTGTCAGCTTGAAGGATATGCAAGTATTTGTAGTAATTTGTATTATTATTATTATTATTGGGAGTCATTTTCCAAAGCACCTGAAGGCAGGACAAGAAGCAACGGGTGGTTTTTAAGAAGAGACTGGACAGCCATTTGTCTGAAATGGTATAGGGTTTCCTGCCTGAGCAGGGGGTTGGACTAGATGCCCTCCAAGGTCCCTTCCAACGTTACTACTACTATTATTATAATTTTATTTTATTATTATTTTATTTATTATTATTATCCTTATCAATAAGGAAAAGTTGCTTTTCAGAGTGAGATGGACAGCATATAAATGTAATACGTATTTAAAAATATTAAAATAAAGGGTAAACGTTTAAAGTTTAGGGAGGTATTTAATACGCCAAAGCACTGTTTGATCAACGCACAGAGTGAAATATAGGGAGCCCTTATCCATGTTACAAAAGTAAAACAAAATGTTGCAAATGTATTGGCATGCTGTTTATTTTTTTAAGTCCCCAAGCATGGCAAGTGTGGTTTACATCAAAAGTGTAACAGAAATGATTTCATGCTTCCTTAGGAATTAAACATCCGCTGATTTAAAACATAAATTTGCATTTTGAAATGAAAGCTTATTATCCCCAAAATAAATAAATCCCCAAGTGGTGTTTCTATTGCCTTCCTAAAATTTAATTAGTTAAAATTTAACTAAAGAGAGAAGCAGTCTGGAATTAAGGAGGAATTTCTGACAGAACAATCAGCCAGTGGAACCCCTTGCCTCCAGAAGTTGTGGGGCAGGGTTTTTTTTAGAAAAGACTGGACAGCCACTTGTCTGAAACAGTACAGCGTCTCCTGCTTGAGCAGGGGGTTGGACTAGATGACCTCCAAGGTCCCTTCCAACTCTGTTATTCTACAATCCCAGATCAATCAACCAGTGGAATTGCTTGCCTCCAGAAATTGTGCATCCTTCATCCCTGGAGGGTTTTTTTTTTTTAAAAAAAAAGACTGGACAGCCACTTGTCTGAAACGGTAGAGCGTCTCCTGCTTGTTATTTTTTGTTTTTGTTATTGTTAGGGATTCATCCTCTGCTCCCATTCTCTATAAAATAGGTAGATAATTCTTATTTTTACGGCATGCTCCATTTAATCCTCCAGGGAAAGATGGAAGGCAAACGAGGTCCAGGCAGAAGAAGAACATCGTGGCTTCAAAATCTAAGGGACTGGTTTGGACAAAACTCAGCAGACCTTTTTCCTGCGGCTGCTGATAAAAACAGGATCACCAACATATCCGATAACGGATATGGCACAAGAAGAAGAAGAAGAATTCTTATTTTTGTCGGTGGCCAGATCCAGCAGAACAGTGGACGATGGGTGCAAGGGCATTATCCATTTGCCCAGCTTCTGCCATAAAACAAGATGAAGTGCTGCCACCATGTGGCTGAAGGCGCACAGCACATGAAGGAGCGACGAAAAGGAGGATCGTCTTCAATTTCCCTTCGTGCCTTTGAGATCGGAGGCAGCCGACATGGTTTCTCCAGACCTCGGAGGCATCGCCTCCGATTTTCTCCCGCCAGCAAAGCCCTCCTGCTGCCCCCCAGGGACAAAACAGGGAGCCCAGATAGCCTCCTCCGGGTCTGATCTTCATGGGGGATTTTAACCCCTTTCCTCTCTACAGGAAGAACAGGCACCAACCGCAAATCTTTTGATGCAGGTGTGAGATTTTTTTTCTCCCCTTTTCTCCTCGATCCGGCCACGTTGCGTGCTTGGTCTCGATGCCAGCAACACCCCGGGCCCTAAATCTTGGCATGGGATGCATCTGGACGCAGGAAGGCGCCTCCTTCGAAAATGGGGAACAAGCAAACCATCTTTACAGATGAACAATTAGACGCCTATCAGGTGCGCTGGGCTGGGTTTGGCAAGAATGGAGATGCTCGGGATGGGGGGGGGGAAGCATGATGCGCCCTTGCGTCGGGCTTCAGCTGATGGGGTTGAAGGCTGGTGGGTCTCCCAAAACTGCCAGACAGCATTGTCTCTTTTCTGGGTGAGCCCCAGTTTCTGTATGCTTGAATAGACTTCCCTGTGACGGGGCCCTTCCTTCGATCTGGCCTTGGGGTCAGGATGGGCTTAGAGGCAGTTTTCCAGGATGGGGGGAGAGAGAGAGAGAGAGAGAGAGAGGGAGAGAGGGAGAGAGAGAGGGAGGGAGGGAGGGAGGGAGGAGAAAGAGGGAGGGAAAAAGAGAAAGACCGAGAGGGAGAGTGTTTGGGGCAGGTGGTCCTGCTTGGAAAGCGCAAGGTCTGTTGGGTTGAATCCTGAAGCTTTTAGATCAGGGTCTCCAACCTTGGCAACTTGAAGACTTGTGGACTTCAACTCCAAGAATTCTCCAGCCCTCTCCCAGCAAATTCTGGGAGTCGAAGCCCATAAGTCTTCAAGCTATGCTGGCTGGGGAATTCTGGGAGCCCCTAAGTCTTCCAAGCTGCCAAGCTTGGACACCCCTGCTCTAGCTGAGTGGTGTGGTGCTGAAGAAGCCAGTGCCCGGAATTCCTCCTCAACTTGGCAGTCCTGCCATGAAGACCCCCTCCATTCTGGGTCACAGAAACTGGTGCCCATGTGCCACGTTGATGGGTTTCGTGGCATCGGAATGCCCCCCCTTTTTTTTCAAACTGATATGCTAACCTGCAAGAGCAGGATCCTGAAGGGTCCTTTTGTACATGCCTCAAATGAATCAGGCTGCTGACCGGCCTTGCTGGGCATCAGAATGGCCCATGCCTTACTCTGCTGATCCTCAGGAGCATCCGAGTCTCAGGATCGGTCCATTCCCATTGTGAGAGATCCAGTGGAAAGTGGATCTCCTCTCCCTGGTCTATTGGCCAACGTGAAATAGGAGCCTATTTTCCAACACAAAGACCCAGGCTGGCCTGGATTAGATGGCCTGGACTGGGAAGAACCATTGGAAGTTCTGGGGTTTTTTTGGACCGCTTTGTTCTCCCCTTCCAGCCAGTCAATTAAAAAACGAAACTGGCCGTTGCCTTGGCCGAGGTCTGCCTTCCTTTTGCGTTTGGAAGTCTTCCTGGGAGAGGAGAAATCGGCGTTGATTCCTTTCTGTCTGGGAGATTCAGAAGGAGAGTGAGCAACATCTGTGCAAGTTGGAGAATTCAGTGCTGAGGTTCAACCTCACAATTTTAAAGTAAAACAGCCTTTACAGCTATGTCGGTTTAGGGAAAAGTTGCAGTGAAGTTTAAAAAAATGCACGGAAACATCTCATGGTTGAGTCGGTGCCCTTCAGAAATTTTGGAGCACAATTCCCACAATCCAGGCTAGGGCTGGTGAGCAAGCCTCTCTACACTTGAACATTTTGTTGCAGCTCTTGAATAATCAAATGAGCTTTCGGATTTCGTAACTTTGATGCATTCCCACAATATGCTGAACTAACTCTGGGAAAAAGCTAGCAAACTGGTGCATTTGTACAACTTGCCAAGATTGGTTTGTACGAGCCTTGGTGAAGCTAACTTGTGACTTGTTTGTGTTATGCAAACTCCCCTTTTTACTTGGGCGCTGTGGGAATATTCTACAGGAAATCTAATCCGGGAAGGGTCAGATTAGATGACCTCACAGAAGCCTTCTGCTCAGAGATCGTTTTTATTCTAAGGCAGAAAATAATACGTTATACATACATATTATAAAATAGGGAGATAAACCTTCCACCTTTCAAAACTCTAAATAGATTGCTTTATTTTTGCAAATTCAGTGAGACAAAAAGTCGGCAGAATTATTTTTGATTTAACCTGCATGATCTCATTAGAATTATTTTATTATGGAGGGCACCCTGTCAGGCTCAGTAAAACTTCACACAAAGATAGATAAAGAAAAAAAGGGGGGGAGGGCAATGTAAGAATCAAAATTGGATCTTACTTAATGGATATTTTGATTAAGTTGAAAGAAGGGAATAGATTCTCGTAGTTGGAAAAAAAAAACCCTAATCTGTCTTGGAAAGAACTCTTCTGCAGAGAAGCAGGGTTTTTCAGAAGCATCTTTTTTTATTTCACCAGACTCTCACATTCTTAGAGGATAATTCACTTTTTTCTCAGATTTGGCATTTCTGGCGGATTGTTTTATTTATACAGTAACAAAACCAGGGCCCTATTCCAGATAATACATAACTTATTTGGATAGAGGCTGAACGGAAGCATTTGCAGATCGGAGAAAATGTGGCTTATTTTAATTTTGAAGGAGCTTTTCTGCCAACTTTTGACGTATTTTATTTTATTTTATTGTTTAGTTTAATTGATTAGTTTAGTTTAGTTTAGTTTATTATTTTATTCTTTCTCTGTCTCTTTCTCTCTGGATAATGCTCCTAATTTGGCTTGAAAGCTAAACTGAAATCCAAGGCCATTTTCCTCAGAACGGGTCGATCCGAAGCCATTAGCCTGCAATAACGCGATGCTTTCAAACCTTGTCCAAGCGAACCAAGGCTAAAAAGGAGAGCCTCCATGTACAGGCACAGTGAAGGCTGCCGAATACAGTGCTGGCCTCCAGGTTTGGCTCTGGAAGGCTGAAAAGGCTTTCAGCTAATGGAGCTTGGAAACAGGATGCTTGGGTGGGAGGGCTGGGTTTTGCTTCTCTCTTGGAAGTTTGGATTACCATGCATGGCCTCAGACTTAGTTTCCTGTTAAGTAACAACCTTGGCTGACGATCCTGGCTGATATAATTACATGAGAAAAAAGAAAGCTCCTGGGGGGTGTGTGTGTGTTAACCAGCATGTCTTTGTTTCCTATGCCAGCCTTTTGCAAAGGGCCACTGACACCCTCCTGCCCAAGCCGTAAAGAATGTGCAAATTCAAGGAGGGATCCTGGCTTGTTTCTCTCGCGGTGTTCTCTAGCAGTGTCCCAATATTTGAGGGGCGGCCAGAAGGAAGAGGGGGTCAGCCTATTCTCCAAAGTACCAGAAGGCTGGACAAGAAACAGCAGATGGAGGAGAGAAGCAACCGAGAACTAAGGAGAAATTTCCTGACAGCTAGAACAATTAACCAGTGGAACAGCCTGCCACCAGAAGTTGTGGGTGCTCCATTGCTGGAGGCCTTTAAGAAGAGATTGGCCAGCCACTAGTCTGAAATGATATCGGGTCTCCTGCTTGAGCAGGAGGTTAGACTAGAAGACCTCCAAGGTCCCTTCCAACTGTGTTATTCTGTTATTCTTTGTGTCACCCCCTCTGGAAGAATGAGAGAAACCATCTTCCTGTATCTCTGTAACTCAGTGGTTCTCAACCTGTGGGTCGGGACCCCATTTGGGGTCGAATGACCCTTTCATGGGGGTCGCCAAACAATGCAGTCCGCCATTTTCCCCCCCTTTTCCTTAGCTGTGCTACTTCCTTTTATTCTATTGGCTTTTGAAAGCCAATAGAATAGACTCTCTTGAATAAAGTCTAATTCTATTGGCTTTCAAAAACCAATAGGAATTGTCCAGGCTGTCTCTGCCCTGCTGAGCCCGCCAAAAGTCCCATTCTGCAAACAGTGCTGCACCCGTTGAGTAGTCCTCGACTTCCGACCGGTTGGGTAGTCCTCAACGTATGACCGGTTGGGGGTCGCGGCATTAAAAAGGTTGAGAACCTCTGCTGTAACTTTATTCAGCCACTCCATCTTGCCTGGAGGGAATGTTGAGCCCATTAGCCACTCCGTAGGCAGGGAAGGAACCATCTTAATAAGTGGCGCTCAAGAAGGCTTTAAAATCTTTTCTGAATCTGGAATATCAGGGCTAAATAGTGGCCTGTGGTTATTTTCCCTAAGGCCAACTTGATCATGTTTTTTAAAGGACCAACATGCAGTCACAACAGCTTTTCCAAAAGAGGTTTCTTCCAGAGGCCTTGGTTTACAGAGGGCACCAGGCAGGGATGGGGATGATAGTTTAATTCAGAACATGGCTTGTTTAGGAAGATCTGCTCCTTAGGTCGGCTGGTCATATGGATTGGAATTGTCATCGTGAGACAGATGAGAACCTGCTGGGATGTTTTTGTGATGATATACTCACTTTGGAACCTTGCCTGAAGCTAGTAGAGTTTTGTTTCTCGTCTCTAAGAATGAATGAATGTGTATGTGTGTGTGTAACGTGTATTTGCTTGCCTCTTTATCTGTGCATACACAAATACTCACAGATAAGTATTATTCCAGTCTTTGAATATTTAAATTATTTCCAATTTCACAGTAGGGCAGTCTTTTTTTTTTTCTTTTTATAAAGCTAACACACGCTGTTCAAAAAGGCTGCAAGGATCAAAAATATTTGATAAATGCCCGATTGGGCTCTCATTTTGCATCTTCTGCTCCAGAGAAAAAAGGGGGTGTTGTTATGTATGTTAAGAACAACGTGTCAGACTCAGATTCTCAAGGAAGATATGTTATGATTGAAGTAATGTTATATGGAAAGAAATTGCTTGTAGTGGGTTTGTATGCCCCTAATCATCAACAAAAACAGTTTTATAAGTTTTTATATCAAAAATTGATCTTATTGGATTATTGGATTGGACAGAACTTACTTCTGATTTCTCCCATTTCTATATGTTTGGTTCTATCTGGGGGGGGAAGACCTTGTAATGTGAACTTCTAACTAAGATGGTCAGAAAAAGAAGAAGTTTTCTCTGCAAAGAAAGAAGGAGGTCTTCTCCTCTGCAGAAACTGACCAAGTCTTCTTTGCAGAAAAAGAAAAAGAAAAACAATAACACAGTTGGAAGGGACCTTGGAGGTCTTCTAGTCCAACCCCTTGCTCAAGCAGGAGACTTTTATGCCAGGGGTCTTCTCTGCAGAAAGTGACCAAGTCTTCTCCTCTGCAGGTCCTCTGCAATGGGGAGATCTCATTTCCCTCTTTCTTTCTGTTCTCATGCAGGATTGCACCTTCTTCACACGAAAGGAGATCCTCAGGTAAGCAGACTATGCACCTTGTTCCACCCTTCAGGCTGGCCCAGGAAGAAGTGCCAGATGTTGCTCGAGCCATTCCTGGGGAGGAAATAGAGAAGCTCACAGTCCTTGACTGTAAAGGTCACAGGTGGACTCTTCCAGAGGTGAACCACAAATGGAAGGATGCTGCTTCGGAGCCCTGTGGTGCTTCTCCTCCAAGTTCTGAGAAAGTCACACTCTTTGAGTTGTTGGCAGCATCAGCAAACTATCTGGGACAAGCCCATTGATAAAAACAAAGCAGCTGATGTCCCCACAATCCATTATTATTATTATTATGGATCATCGCACAGTCAGCCAGATGTTCAGACTGGATTTGGCATTTTGTCTACCTATCGCGTCCTTACCCAGGACCTGGGATAGGCAGATGTGGATGTTTGATGGTATTACAGGTATCGTCGCAGGATGGAAGAAGTTCCTAGTAAGGCCGCCTTTTGCAATTGACTAATAGCGAATTTGTCAATGCCAATGGTGTTCAAGTGGTGCTCCAGTTGTTTTGGGATTGCACCCAAGGAGCCTATGACTATTGGTACTACCCTTGCTTGCTTTTGCCACAGTCTTTCTATTTCTATTTGTCGGTCTTTGTATTTTGTGATCTTCTCCAGCTCTTTCTCGTCTATTCTGCTGTCTCCAGGCACTGCCACATCCACTATCCAGACTTTTTATTATTATTATTATTATTATTATTATTATTATTATTATTATTATTATTATTGTTTCATTCTTGAATTCAGCTGAAGCAAACTTCTAAATTTAGACAGGTCATTTATTCAAACACTGGCTTATTTTACCCAAGTTATTCCTGTTCGGAAAAGAGACAGGATTTTAGGAAGGGAGCAGATTCAATACGTGGGTTTTCTCTGGTCAAATGTGGGGCTACTGAGTTGTGTTCGGTGCAGGGACTAACATTTTTTCCAATGAGGCCAGCTTTTTTGCTCTACAATCGGTTACTTTTTTTTAATTTTACAATTTCCTAACCAGTCATGGTTCTTGTTATGTGATCAGCTCATTCCAAACACTCCTCTGGGCACGTTAAAAGTGTAGATTTCGTACAGTGGAGGAAAAGAAACGGTGTCTACAAGAACAAGAAACGGGCTGATCTTTCAACCTGGCGTACTTTCCTATCCTCTTTATGCCTCTGGTAAATCCCACGTAGGGCCGTGACTAATTACAATTCAGCTGGGAAAATTAACACTGCTTCCTAGACCAAAGCCATTTGTGTGTGTTTGTGTGCATGTGTCTGCATTCTGGCTTGGTAGAAAACCATACTTTTTAGGCTTAATGAACTAAAGCTCCTCCTCGTATTTCTGTGGAGAAGGTCGTTATCCTCCTCAAACAACATAATCTCAGCTCAAAGCCAACAATCCATTCATGTTTATTTGAGTTCATGGGACAAGGCCCAGCTAACATGCTGCCCAGAGCAGCCTCTGCTTAGGAATCCGATGCTTCCTCCCCCCCCCCCATAGCAGAGATGTTGCTGCCGTGTGCATTGTACCTGAAAGGTAAAATCAGAGAGGATCGTAATTTATCCTGGGACCAGCCAAGGCTGCAGGACTCAGAGTTCTTTCAAAGACGGGTTGCTTCTAAGAGAACAAAATGTGTCAGCGGAAGGTGGAGTGGGAAAAGCAGCCGATGCTCTCCGGGGTTTTTCACATCAAAGCAACTTTCATCATGTCTCCTGGGTAAAACTTCAGACCGGAGAAGGTGTAGAGCCATCAGCCCCTGGGAGAGTTGATCTGTCAGCAACCTGGTGGTTCTTCTTATGTCTTGGACTTCAGTCCCACCCTGAGCAATTCCCCCAAGTGGGGGGCTATTTTCTCTGGCCTCCCAGGTGACGGGGGGTCTCCCATGTCACGTGGTGCGGTGGCAAGAATTGCGACTTCTGTACCACCAAAGCTCATTTTCTTGGTTTCCGAGAAAAGTTCTTCTCTCATTTGAAGAGGAGAATCCAAGACTTAAGTTTCGTGCCCTCGGAGGCCCAAGCGTTCCATTCACCTGGTGGGAAATCACAGCAGTTCTCAAAGTTTTGCCACGGGGTGGCCAGAAGGAGCCCCCCCCCAAATCAACTCAAGGGGGGCTGATGACTCTCCTTGAAGCTGGGAGCCAAATCTTAGCTAAGAACCCTCTTCTTGGTCCGTAGCTGTGTCTGTTCCCTTACAGGTTGCACGGCCGCTACCACGAACTGGCACCAAACATGGTTCCCATGGATTATACCAAGAATCCAGATGTTAAACTCCCTCTGCAGCTCATAGAGAACATGCCAGAACTCAAGGTATGGCACAGCGAGATCAGTTTTATCTTTGTTGATATTTTCCACAGCCTATAAAATCTGGGGGGGAGGGGGGCGGTAGGTAGAGAAGACTGTAAAATGTGCAGATTTTATGGATTTGGCTGCAAAAGTCTAGCTTCTTGTTGTAAAGATTTAAAATCCTCCCATTAAGGCTTCTGCAGTGAGATGATATCTGCTGCACGGATAGCATTCTATCCCAGTGGCTGTGGTACTGAGAAGCTCAAATTCTTTCTTTCTCTGTCTTTGCAAAGCATATGTTGATGGGAACAGACCATAATAATGAGCAGGAATAGATTTCATACTAAACCATTTGCCCTAAACTGTTGTCTTTTTTATTGCCTGGCAAGAATGTTGCATGTCTCTTTTTCAGTAGAGTATTGATTTTTTTTTTTTGCTAATTGAATTCTCCCAATAGAAGAAAATCCATCAGCCATCAACACATAGAGATAAATCACATTGAAAAGAGCTAATAAAACAGCTAAGAAGGAAACAATAACAACAGCAAAAAAGCCAGAACACATTCTCTGCATTAACCAGCTCCCAGATAGACAGGAATCAACACCAGACAAATAATTGAGCAGAAAACAATACCCTAATCAATTACCGAGGGGAAAACCACACCCCACCAATATGGACAAGGCAAGCAAAGCTCACATTCATGAGTATTGATGAGGTTACCTAGTTGGGTAATGAATTGTCTGAAAGAAAACAGCCAAGTTCAGAAAGCACCAAAGTCTCCATTATTGACTTCTTTTGTTGTTGTTGTTGATGGTGGTCTTTATTAATTATTATGGTTTTGGGCTACTCCTTTTTTACTTTCTCTTTTCCTCCACACTGGCCACCCTTGTGCAAGACAACCCTTGGCCTAGCTTCTGTCCAGCCATGCTTCTTCATGAATTTGACCTGTTCTCAACCCTAAAAGGGGATTGGTTTACACTATATCTATAGCCTTGTAACTTCATATATTCCGAGAGAGATCAACAACAGGGAACAAGAGACCAGAAGGTCAATTCTTGGGATTGAGTTGCCCTAAAAAGCAGGAGAACTAATGTAATTGCTAAATGTCTTCTAGAAAACGTGCGGGAGGGAACACAGAATTCTCCAGGCAGCATCAGAGTTGACCTCCATACATATTAAAGCTGCCAAGGGTGAGGAAAACCTTGAAATGGGACCTAAAGGTCTTGAAACAAGTTGGTTTTTTTTGCTGCTGGGCTCACTGTACTAGTAGGAATGGAAAGAGGTGGGTCTCCAGGCTGTGATCAAAAAAAGGACGTCTTTGCTTCAATGAACTAAGGATGTCATTGAAGCCGTGCATGTAAAAACAGGGTTTTGAGTGCACTGTCATGTATACCTTGATGTTTTGACCATACTTTGAAGTTACCCCTGAAAGCTCAACTTCATGCCATTATTTTAACCAATTGGAAAATAGTGTTGAGACCGTAACCACCACATGTTAGTGGAGAGGCTGGATTTCATCCTCAGGATCAGGAGTGAGCAACTATGGCCCCTTTACAACCTGTGGACTTCAATTCCCAGAATTCCTGAGCCAGCCATGTCCACAGGTCGTAAAGGGGCCATAGTTCCCATCCCTCCTTAGGACCTTCTTGCAATTCTAGTAAAGACAGGAGCGCCTTCTCTGCTTGGTCACCACTCTGGGGAAGCCCTGGGAGAATTCAGGATTCAAATAGGATCGTGGACAGCTGCTCCATCGGCAGTGGCCAACCTCAAATTGGGCCCATAGATCGTTCTTCTCTAAAGGCGCCTTGCCTATTTTAACAATTCTTGGCCCCATCAATCTTTGAGAGACAAAAATGAATTCATGGCAGATTCCTAGAATGTTTTGCAAAAACCGAAAATGCAGCACGATCGCAAAAACTCCCCCCAAAGGATCTGAAGATCTCCAATTTTTGAAGCTTTGGGGAAAAGCATTCCACGACTTCCTGATGACGTGGTGCGACAGTTCATTTCCACCAGTGCCCCTGGATTGAAAAGAAAGAGGGTCTCTTAGATTCAGTAAAAGGGGTCCAAATATGGCTTACTCCTGCGGGGGTCTGCCTACCCAGCAGAAATGCACGGGGATTTTTTTTGATCCCTTCCCTGCTTCCGAAGGTGTTGAGTGGATCTGTCTGCAGACTGCCATCAGAGTAACTGGATCCAGTGGTAATGCAGTCTGTTGTAAGAGACACCGATGGGTAGCACTGGAGAAGTCCAGAAATGGGAGAGACTGCTTCAGCTCTTGAGATGTTATATCTTTGGGCAGATATATCTTTCGCTTCCTCTCATGTTCTCCTTTGGGAAAGGCGGGAGAGAAGACACACTGTCTGTAGAAAGCCACTCACGTGCTTTGCTCCTGCCTGAGGCACTCTGTGAATTTCTCAAGTTCAACCCAGCTTCTTGTTGGTGTTAATTTAAACCAGTGGTTCTCAACATTTTTAATGCCGCGACCCCCAACCGATCGTAAGTCTACTCAACCGGTTGTAAGTCGAGGACTACTCAACTGGTGCAGCACCGTTTGCAGAATGGGACTTTTGGCGGGCTCAGCAGGGCAGAGACAGCCTGGACAATTCCTATTGGCTTTTGAAAGCCAATAGAATTAGACTCTATTCAAGAGAGTCTATTCTATTGGCTTTCAAAAGCCAATAGAATAAAAGGGAGTAGCACAGCTAAGGAAAAGGGGGAAAAAATGGCGGACTGCGTTGTTTGGCGACCCCCGTGAAATGGTCGTTCGACCCCAAATGGGGTCCCGACCCACAGGTTGAGAACCACTGATTTAAACTGATGTTACCCCACTGACACGGGGCTTTTTTTTTTTTTTTTTAAATCACCCAGCTTGTGATTCTAAGGGACCGTTTTTGCAATGGCTTTCTCAAGTGCTTGCATTTTTAGCCCCACAGTTTTCGCTTGTACAATATGTTTGGTGCACTTTTTTTTTTTTAAAAAAAAAAAGACGTGTGCTTGTGTGCTAGTTCACAAAATGCATTGCCGAGGTGGCGCAGCAGTTAGGGTGCAGTACTGCAGGCCATTTTAGCTGACTGTGTTCAGCAGGTCAGCGGTTCAAATCTCACCGGCTCAAGATTGACTCAGCCTTCCGGGGTAGGTAAAATGAGGACCCAGATTGTTGGGGGCAATGTAAATATATATATACATTGCTTACTGGTGTACACCGCTTAGAGAGTGCTCGCACTTAAAGCGGTATATAAGTCTCATCAATAAATAAATAAATAAATAAATAAATTGCAAAATCTGAAAAGGAAGGGATGTCGGTACGAAAAGAGGTGGCTTTTAATGAGTCGCATTAAGGACACATTTGCTTTCTCGAATGGACTCATTGAAGCAGCCGCATCAATTCTTCAGAGTCATGCAGCAGCCTAAAAAAAAAAGACCCAGCTGCTTTCAAAAGGCTCGTGCGTCTTTACCTTCTGAATAATATTTGAAGCATGTACAGCCCTGATTTCTAGTTTGCTAATTTAAAAAAAAAAAAATGAAGGGAGCTAACCTAATGCCTCTTTCTGCAGGAAAACCCCTTCAGGCAGAGAATTGTCCACTCTTTCTCGGAGGACCCAGAAGGAAACCTCAGCTTCAATGACTTTGTCGACATGTTTTCTGTACTTAGTGAAATGGCTCCCCGGGAGCTAAAAGCAATTTATGCCTTTAAGATTTACGGTAAGAATAATAACCGGATGGGGGAAAAACTGACTGGGGACTTCTGGGAGTTGAAGTCCACCCCTCTTAAAGCATGCTGGCTGGGGAATTCTGGGAATTGAAGTCCACGGGTCTTAAAGTTGGCAAGGTTGAGAAACTCTGGGGTAGAACACTGTCTAGTATCCTTATGAGAAGCAGCTGAAAATTCCCATCAAGATCTTTAAAATCCCTTTAAGATTTATGCCAAGGAATGGAATAATTACAGGTTAGAACAGTGCTTCTCAACCTTGGCAACTTCCAGAGAGGTGGACTTCAACTCCCAGAATTCCCCAGACCCGGTCTAGCATCCTTATGAGAAGGAGCTGAATATTCTCAGCCACAGAGCATGTCTTTCTGGTGGAGGTGTGGCGACTCTGTCAATCTCTCCGTCCAGTCTTTTGGATTTTATAGAGCAAGTGGAAATCTTTTTGTCTTTGTGGCTACTGGCACAACCAACTCACCCTCTCCCCCAAACTTTTTCAGCAAAACCATCTTTCAATGTCAATTCAGTTTTTAATGCCTGCTTTTCACCACATGGTTTCTGGAGGGCTACGAGATCCCAAACCTTTAGAGAAAAAAAAGGAAGGATGTGATTTATTTCCTTCTTTGCAGGAAAGACCTGTCAGATGCCAGACCTTTTCCCAATAAATTTGCCTTGACAGATTTACTGCCCATACACGACCTGCTAAATGTCATGCTGTCGGTTTCTAATTAAATAGAGCTGATGGTAATTCTGCTTATTGAGCGAAGCACAATAAAAAGAAATGTTCAGCCCTGGCCTTTTAATCACCAGCCGGTTGTTCACTTGGTAGATCTGTGATTGAGCTTCAGCGATGGAAGAGAGGAAGAAACACACCTTCTCCAGATGTTTGGTAGATTCCAACCGGGAGAAATGGAACGAAGGGTTGGTGGGGCTGGTTGAAGTTTAGACATCCAAGCCACGTGAAATAAATCAATACGTATTTTCCCAACTATCAAATTTATCAGAAGTTTGGAAAACTTCAATCAATAACAGAATAAGAGAGTTGGAAGGGACCTTGGCGGTCATCTAGTCCAACCCCCTGCTCAGGCAGGAAACCCTATACCATTTCAGACAAATGGCCGTCCAGTCTCTTCTTAAAAACTTCCAGTGTTGGAGCATTCACCGCTTCTGGAGGCAGGTAGTTCCATTGGTTAATTGTTCTCACTGTCAGGAAGTTTTTCCTTAGTTCCAGGTTGCTTCTCTCCTTGATCAGTTTCCATCCGTTGCTTCTTGTCCTGCCTTCGGGTGCTTTGGAGAATAGCTTGACTCCCTCTTTTTCGTGGCAGCCCCTGAGATATTGGATACTTGGCACGGTACAAAAATTCCACCCCATCTACTTATTTCTGTGCAGATATATAGGAAACTCTGAAAAAAAGGGGGACTCCATATCCAACTGACCAGGGTGCGGGCTGGAAGCCGTAGTCCCAGCCAAAGTGAGGGCAGTGAAGAGACATTCTGACAACCCCTTTCTTCTCGGTCTTTGCCTGCCTAGATTTTAACACCGACAACTTCATTTGCAAATCTGACCTGGAGCAAACTCTGAACAAGTTGACCAAAGAAGAGCTGACCAAGGAGGAGGTCAGCCTGGTCTGCGAGAAGGTCATTGAAGAAGCGGACATGGATGGAGATGGGAAGCTTGGATTCTCGGATTTCGAAAACATGATTTCCAAAGCTCCAGATTTTCTCAGGTAGGAGAAGCATGTCCACCACCTGTCAAGGTTCCTGGGCGGTGTCCCTCAACCGTGGCAGCTTTAAAGTGGGTGGACCTCAACTCCCAGAATTCCCCAGGCCAGTATTGTTGGCTGGGGGAATTCTGGAAATTGAAGTCCACAGATCTGAAAGTTGAAGGACACTGCAGTCAGGTTTGAGTAAGTTAGAGATGATCCGAGGAAGGCGTGGAAAACCTGCGTCCAGCCAGGAGATCATTTGCCTCCGGTGGGAATTCAGGGTAGCATTTTCTTGAGACATCATTGGAGAGCAAGGATCCCTAATTGGTGCCCTTTCCTCCTCAATTTTTCTTTCATCGATGGAACGCAAGAGAAGGCCCAAAGTTGCCATCGCTGATAGATAGATAGAAGTGATTAAAATGATACATTTTTCATATATACAAGTAGTCCTTGACTTAACAACAGGTTGCTTAGTGATCGTTCGAAGTTACAAGGGCACTGAAAAAAAGTGCCTTATGATGAGTTTTCACACTTAACGACTGTTGCGGCATCCCCAGGATCCTGTGATTTACATTTGGATTGCTTGACAAATGACTCATATTTATGACGGCTGCAGGGTCTCAGGGAGTCACCTGATGCCCTTTTGTGACGTTCCAACCAGCAAAATCAACATGGGAAACCAGGTTCACTTAACGACCATGTCACTAATTTAACAACTGCAGTGATTCGCTTAACAAACATAGTGAGAAAAGTCGTAAAATGGGGGCAAAATTCGCTTAACAAATTTCTCACTTAGCCACAGAAGTGTCGGGCTCCATCGTGGTCGTACGTTGAGGACTGCCTTCGATTAGTGACCGTTAACAGCCCTTAAAAAAGCGATTTACGGCCGGTCCTCGCATTCACGACCGTCAGAGCATCCCCACAGCCATGTGGTCGTAATTCGGGCTGTGAGCATTACAAATAAGTTGCCATGTTTTGCTTGCGTATCTGTGGGGGAGTGCTGTGTTGGTTGTAAAAGTGAGGACTGGTTCTAAGTCACTTTTCCCAGTGCCATTGTGACTAAACCGTCACTAAATGAATGGCTGTACATCGGGGATGCTTGTCTCTTAGTTTGAAAGGAAATAGATGTTGGAAAGGAATTTTTTTCCCAAGAGCCACCGGCATCGCCCTGATCCGCTCGGTTTGGGCCCCAGGAATGGCTTCCACCGGTCAAAATCCCAAACTTCCCGGCAATGGCAGAAGCACTTACTGATTCTGACAATGTGATCCCTGTGGGATCGTTTCACTTTTTAAAAAATGTGATCATTTTGAGGCCCTGGGCATTTTAATGGCCCCATTAGCACTGCCAGCTGGCCCTCGCTCATTGTTCTGTTCTACAAGACTGGCTACGTTTTTTCCACAGGAAATTGTTTTATAAATCATTATGGAAGCTGGAACTTTCACACACACACACACACACACACACACACACACACACACACACACACACCCCTGTAAGATAGTGGAACATCCCAAAGAGGTAAGTCCATTCAACGTCTTTAATCATGTTGGTTGAAGAAGTGCCATTTGGGCAATTTTGTGATTTAATGCATTTTGTCAATCTAGACCAGGATTTCTTAACCTTAGCAACTTTTAAGATTTGTGGATCTCAAGTTGGCTACTCTCATATTGTTTTGTTGCTTCTCCCCCTCTTCCTTCCTTCCTTCCTTCCTTCCTTCCTTCCTTCCTTCCTTCCTTCCTTCCTTCCTTCCTTCCTTCCTTCCTTCCTTTCCTTCCTTTCCTTCCTTCCTTCCTTTCTCTTTCCCTCTTTCTTTCTTTCTTTCTTTCTTTCTTTCTTTCTTTCTTTCTTTCTTTCTTTCTTTCTTTTTTTCTTTTCTCCTTTCTTTCTTTCTTTCTTTTTCTTTCTCTTTCTTTTCTTTTCTTTCTTTCTTTTTTCTTTCTTTTTCTTTCTCTTTCCCTCCCTCCCTCATCATTCTTTCTTTTTCCCTCTTCCTTCCTCCTTCCCTGTTTACTTTGCAGCACCTTCCACATACGAATCTGAAATCCATGGGGCTGAGCCACTGGAAGCCAGGCTGGCTGACGTGTTCTTGGCTTTCTCCTCCTCTCTTCCTGGATGCTGCAGCAAAGGACTCAACTGAATCCTGGCCCAGCAGATGCAGGACTGTTTTCCAAGATCTTCGGAATATCCCTGGATGATTATTACTAACTTGGTTTTTTTAAAAACAAAAACAAAAACCCATAATGGGCCACTCACCTTGTGGGACGTACAGATGCCAGACTGTTATTTTTTTAAACTGGACCAGCGAGTCGCCCGTGTGATTCTCTGTCATTTTTATACCTGTCTATACTAGCCCTCTGTGCAAAAATCAGACAAAATCCCAAGGGCAACTTGAAAGAGATGCGAATCTCCCCGAAATGACTTGATCAAACCGAAGCGCTGGAACTCCTAAGGCAGTGGTTCTCAACCTTTTTAATGCCGCGACCCCCAACTGGTCATAAGTCGAGGACTACTCAACCGGTTGTAAGTCGAGGACTACTCAGCTGGTGCAGCACCGTTTGCAGAATGGGGCTTTTGGCGGGCTCAGCAGGGCAGAGACAGCCTGGATAATTCCTATTGGCTTTTGAAAGCCAATAGAATTAGACTCTATTCAAGAGAGTCTTTCAAAAGCCAATCGAATAAAAGGGAGTAGCACAGCTAAGGAAAAGGGGGGGAAAATGGCGGACTGGGTTGTTTGGCGACCCCCGTGAAATGGTCGTTCGACCCCAAATGGGCTCCCGACCCACAGGTTGAGAACCACTGTCCCAAGGGAAGGAGGTTCCCTGGTTTTTAAACCAGGCGACCCTCCCAGCTGGATTCGTGCGGCAGAAGAAGACTGCCGGCGCCCGGAACGAGGTGCTTCATCAGCCAAGGTTGGGCAAAGGCTTCTCTCCTTAATGAAACTTGAACTATTTCCTTTTCCTTCCCTCCGCCTCCCATTGTTGCATTAGCAAATCAATGCCTCTCCAGTCACGGAGACAGCAACACACGAACATGAACATCGGCGGCATTCAGGCCTTCTCTCATATCCTGATTGCATTAGGCTGACCGATTGCAAAAAATAAACACAACAAGGAAGCGAAACAAAAGAAAACCAAGGGGGAACACAAACACAACCTGTACCTTCGCCAACGCACAGCCCGGGGTGCCAGCGAGGCCACCTTTCTCGTGGGATGATGCGTTGGCCACCCGTGATTCCTCTTTTCTCCTAAACCAGCTGCATTTCGTATTTTCTTTTCGGTTTGGGTTCTTGGCCAACCAACTAGGCCTGATGACAATCATCTCTTGCCACCGTTTTCACACAATCTCCTGGAAGGGCTTTGCTACCTATCGTGTGGCTTCTGTAAACGATCCAGAATTAAAATGTCTGCCAGTTTTACTGGCCTTGGATGGTTTTCTTTTTGGATTCGCCTTTGAAAGAAACGGCTCTGCTTGTTTTGTTTTATCGATCCGATTTATTTTGGCTGCCCATGTCAGGGAAAGCCACTCTGGACCTTGTGCAGCAGTCCAATCAAAACAGGACAGAAATAAGACAGTGGTGATACAGTAATTGTTACAAAGAGTTAGAAATTATTAGAAGAAAAAATGTGTGGCTTGTGGCGATTATTGTTATTATTATTATTCGCTGATTTTTAGCCCAGAAGAAGCCATGAAAAGAGGCGATAGGGATTGTGGTTTTTTTGTTTTGAGGGAAAAGAGCCATTCAAATTCATACATTCCCCCCCCCCCAAATTTGCCAAATCTGTTTAGTTACTGTGGCAAAAAAGAAAAAAAAGGGAGGGGGGCAACAGTGGTCTCCCCAATTTCCAGGGTAGTGCCATTTATTTATGGCATTAGGCAGTAAATGTCAATGGAACAACCTACTGTGTTACAATAATTTAGTTTATTCAAGTTAAGGATAATTAAACTTAAACAAAGACAAGTAAAGATTTGTGACCTTCCCAGCTGGCTTCTGATAAATCAAAGGGGGAAGGCAGATTCAGTTAATGACCATAAAGATTCACTTAACAACTGCAGTGGTTTGCTTAGGAGCCCTGGTGGCCCAGTGGTTAGAATGCAGCATTGCAGGCTGACTCTGCCCACAGCCAGGAATTCGATCCTTACTGGCTCAAGGTTGACTCAACCTTCTGTCCTTCTGAAGTCGGTAAATGAGGACCCAGATTGTTGGAGGGCGCAAAAGGCTGACATTTGTAAACTGCGGTATATAAGTCTTAAGTGCTATTGCTATTGCTACTAACAAAACAGTGGCAAAAAAAAATCATAACATGCCTTACTTAACAACCACTTGCTAGCAGCGTGAAATTCAGGTCCCAGTTGTGGACATAAGGCGAGGACCACCTGCACTAACAACAGTGGCTGTTTCCATGTTTTATGCCAGGGCCCAGCCAACAAATTCTGATTTAGTCAGTATCACTTCCCCCAGACAGGACCCAGCGTGCTAGCCGTCAGCCAAAACCTGCATCCGTTTACTTGGAAGTAAATAACAGCAAAAGCGAGATGATTAAATCTGCTTGCAAAGCCTTAAAACAGGACATGGAAGTCAATTTCCTAATGAAAGGGGGGGGGGAATTGGACTCCTGGGTAACCCTTTGTTCACCCTGCAGTGATGGAAATTAATCAAGTCATTAGGGATTTCTTATTTATTTTTTAAAGCAAACGGTTCTTCCTTTTTGCTTTCTGCTTTTCCTTCCAATTAAGCTCCGTTTAATGTCGTGGCAAAGAGTGTGGGGTAAACCGGAGCGGGCAGAGGGGAGTCGAGGACAAATTGTTACCCAAAAAGATTTATTTTGGCTTCTGAGAAGAACTGCCAATCACCCCTCAAGGCTGCTGGGAGAGGATTTCTGTTTTACCATGTCTACCAATCATCATAAGGGAAGGAGGAGTGGGAAAACTCCTCTGCTGACCACGGGAGTCATAATTCCTCTTTATAGTTCCTGGAAAATTTACCGCTAAATCTTCTCACATAAGGATAGTCCTTGGTTTACAACCACAGTCGGGGAGGGGGGGAATCAGAATTTCATTGCTAAGCAAGGCGGCTGTTAAATCAATCGTGCTCAACTTTATGATCTTGGTGGCCACTGTTGTTAAGCGAATCACATGGTCATTAAACGAACCCAGCTCCTCCCATTGACTTCGTGTGTCGGAAACCGGCTGGGAAAGTCACAAATGGTGATGCTGCAACCTAACATAAATTCTATGCTGGTTTTCCAAGCGCCCACATTTGGACGGGACCGTGGGGACGCTCGCAAAGGTCATAAGTGCGAATCGTAGGTCACTGTGGTAATTTCAAACAGTCACTAAATGAATGGTCAAGGGCCATCTGCACAATCCTTGGGGATTTCCCCCACCCATACAAGCCGTCCTTGACTTGCAACTGTTCATTTAGTGACCGTTTGATGTTACACTGGCGCTGAAAAAAGTGAGCTACGGCCTTTTTTCCTACATTTAGTGACCACTGCAGCCTCCCTCCAGTCAGGTGATCAGAATTGGGACACACGGCAACTGACTCACATTTATGATGATTGCAGTGTCCCCTGGGGTCACGTGATCCCCTTTTTGCACCTTCTGACCAGCAAAATCAACGGGGAAGCCAGATGCTAACTGGTCAACTGCAGTGATTCACTTAACAACCGTGGCAAAAAGCAATGGAGCAAAGCTCAGTTAACCGCTGTCTCGCTTAGCCACAGAGGTTTTGGGCTCAATTGTAGTCATATGCCGAGGACTACGGTACCCGTACAGCCCTTGGGGCCTCATCCTGTTGATACTGCTCTAGCCCCTCTAGCTAGCCTAAAGTCCAACCTCCAAGCTCTCTGAAAGGGGCCGTCCAGCTGAGTGGCCGCTGGCTGGCAGGAGAAGTGACCCAAAGGCTGGGCAGGGCTTTCATCCAACATAGCGGCCTGCGGCATTTCTGGCGGATTGTTTCCGTAGCAACTGTGCCTCTGGTTCTTGAGTGGTGGCCTTGGGGAGAGAGGTTCGGTTCAGAGCCCCATCCAAATCGGCGCCTTCAGGATTTGGCCTTCTTCTCCGCAAAGAGGAACTTTCTGGGCTTCTCGCTCTGCTGGGGAAAGAGAGGGGCACTGGTCAGAGAGACCCTTCCCAGGAGATGAAGCTCTGCACACACCTGGTGAGGTGGAAACCGGGAGCATCAGTGGCTGGAAGTGGCTCTCCATTTGCTTGGATGCTGTACTGCAGAGGCCCCCAACCTTTTGGGCACCAGGGACCAGTTCCACGGAGAGAGGTTTTTCCGTGGACCGGAAGGGGTTTTGTGTGCTGCCTGCATCCTGTGGATGAGGTTTTCCTTGTTTGTGCAGACCAGTTGCTGGCATGCCACGGCCCAGTACTGGTCCATGGCCCCGGGGGTTGAGGACCCCTGCAGCGTTGGGTTTGGTTTTTTGTTCAAATTCAATTGAATTCAGGAGATTCTGTCTCTCCATCCATCCATCCATCCATCCATCCATCCATCCATCCATCCATCCATCCACCTACTGATCTATCCATCTCCCCTTCCCTTCCTGTCTCTCTCTCTCTCTCTCTCTCTCTCTCTCTCTCTCTCTCTCTCTCTCT